GGATGCCCCATCCCTGGAAACATTCAAGGCCAGGTTGGACGGGGCTCTGAGCAACCTGATCTAGTTGAAGATGTCCCTGCCCACGGCAGGGGGGGTGGACTAGATGACCTTTAGAGGTCCCTTCCAACCCCAACTACTCTATGATTCTGTGATTCTATGATCTGTGATCCTGCTTTCTCTAAGCAGTCTTATAGACTCCGTGGCTCTTTGCTGCAGAGCTGGTGAGGGGCAAAGCACCAGTTATTTCTCTTAGCTCTTAGGGCTTCCTCAGGTATCCTCCTGCCCAAGCTGCAGGACAGGTGGTATAGGGAAATAGCCAGTTTTCCTTACAAAAGTATCCTAAGGTGGAAAATCCACTGTAGCCTCTGGTGGGTTGTTTCAGTACTTAATGACTCTTGCTTACAAAAAAAGCACCTATTTCCAGTCCTTTCACACTGTTCTGTGATACTCAAGACTTCTCTGTTGTGAAACCATCCACTCTAGGAGTTTATGACCTGTATTCAGGTGGCTCTGCCTTACTCCTAGCTTAATGCTTTGCTTAATATGCACTTCCACAGTTGCTTTTATGCAGATATCCCTTTTAATCACCAAAATCGCTCCAGAAACCATTGCATCCATTCCCCCGGTCACTATCAGGAACCATCCTGAAAAAGGGTGCAAGTATTTTGGAGATACCTCCAGGGACCTGCTGGTGCAATGGCTGAGTGCAGAATCACAGTGTGAAAATGATTTATAGCTGTTTTCTTCCTTTTTTGCCATGTGTGGCATGGCACAGCAGCATTCACAGGGAATGCCAGGGCTCTGTGGTGGTTTATTATAAAGTTCCCCACCCCTGTAAGCTGAAGGCTGACCTTCAGCCTGCTCACAGTCTATTCCTTCCTCCTCTGTTTGCCTTGTGCAGTGTTATTTATTTTTTCCTCGTAGAAAGGCTGGCCATCCATCTCTGAGTGCTGCTTCTGCAGCATCCCTGACCATGTACTGCTCTCAGTGGGTCAGTATTGTAATAGATCTTGCCACTCTCATTTTCTGAAGGTGAAATGGTGTGACTGCACCCTCCTTACCCCACTGAGCCTCCCTTTGAGTACTCCGTGTGCCTGGGGGAATAGGGATGTTGTTTTCACGTTGTTCCCACAGGATTCCCAAGGAATCGCTCTATCAGACTGGGATGATCAGGCAAAGGCAGAGCTGCCTGGAGTCACACAAGTCTGAAGCCCAAGAGTTCCCCGTCCTGAGCTTAAATCCTTGCATCAGCAGCAAAGGCACGGCAGCAACGGCACAGGTAAGATGTGTTGCCTATCCCCATGACACTGGCTGGAGAGAAGGCTCTGGGGCAGGTTCAAGGTGATTTCCTAAGTTTGCTAAAGCTCTGTTGGAGGATTACCTGTTCTGCCAGCCCCTTTCCTAAGGTAGCATGTAGTTAAACCCCGGTAAGTCCTCCTTACCTCAGTGGAGGCCCTGGGCAGCAGCAGGGACTGGAGCAGGAGCCACAGTACAAGGTGGACCGCTTATCTCTGTGCTAGCCTGTGCCGAGCACTTACTGCTGCTCAGGAACGCCACGCGCCGTTCATCTGCAGAGATCAGAAAAAGACAAAGAGAACTATAATTTCCTCTCATCTTTCAGCCTTATTTCTTTCAAAATGCACTGAATCACAATGGTATTTATAACTTCATAGTCTGCATTCTGTCAATATTAGATTGCCCATTAAACTAGTGAGAATTTAATGAGGATGATCTCAGTTTTTTCAATCTCATTGAAATGAGAAAAAGCCATATGAATCAATGTTCTCAAAAGCATATTCTATGAAATGTTAGAGCCAAGAGCAGGCACATGTGCTTTGCAGCGGAGTCACTGGAGCAAGACCCTGAAGAGACAGCTTCAAAACCTGCCTTTGCTTCAGGCTCCCTTTGTGATTTTGGGCATGTCAGGAAGTTTTCTCACTGTTCCCATCTATAAAACAGGGAGGATAACAATCACTCGCTTCTTCGGGGTGCCGTGAAATAATTTAATAGGCAATGGTGTGCTTGCTTCCACTTGACTGTACATCCTTAACCCTCATGATTACACATTCAAACCAGGTAGCTATGCATATAAAAGGCCCAGCCTGGAGATGCTGCTGAAAATGTCCCTGGTTTGCATGTGCAAATGAAGCATGTCATTATGTGCATCTCTTTCGCATGCAGTTGCATGCCTACCTTTAGTCAGGAAAATAATATCTGCTTCACAGTCTGGTAAAATCAGCAGTGACTACTTGAATTTTAGTCAGTTCAGAAAATATAGTGAATATAACTGCAAGTACCGCATAGTTACAGTTCTTATGGTTTAACTGGTTTCCAGGTTTTGGAATTCTTTTTCTTTCTTCCGCTGCTACATGGACTTTTACACAAACAGCAAGAGAAGCGAGCTGATGAGAGCAGATCATCATGTTTTGCAGGGTCAACTCTGCTGAAGGAAAAAAAAATGCTTTAGTGACAATTGCAACTTTCAATGAATTGGATGTTTTTAAAGAAAATCTGGGAAAATCAGAATGGAAGATGCTGCTGCAAGCTAACATTTCAAAATGAAATGGCATTGGTCTTTCTGAAATATCAATTTGGTGTGATATTTTAAAATGAGAAATGTCATGCCAACAAGTTGGATTGTTTCATTCCCATCAAACACATTTTGTTTTGACATTTCTGTGGAGTAAATTTTTGGAATTTTTCATGCCACAAACTTTTCAACTTCTCATTCTGATTCTGCAGCAGTTTGCAATAGGTCAACACTCCCCACTGGATGGCAACTCCATTTCTTGTGCACATCCAGGACTAACTCTGCAGCGGAACAGAAAAATGCACTGCAAACAGATTGCTGAATAGCTACACTCAATACACAGGCAGAAATAGAGAAAAACCTTTTCCTTTTATCTTTCTCTGTCTTTCTAGGATAGTTTTCTGTTACCTCTACCCATGGAGAATATTTCAGATGAAAGCAGGATATTTAAATTTTCATTGTGAATAGAAACTTGTATTTTAATTACACAATTGTTACAAGACCACCTGAACTTGTGGATGACATGGGGGTTATAGTCACCGGGCTGTGTAGGATACATTATGCAGCAGTCCTGAATGCTGCTTAATTTCATATGCAATAATCTTCACTTTCAACATACTGAAGTCACATCTTGTTTACCCTATTCTTACCCTTATTTGAAAATAGGCTTAGCTAAATCAAAGCTGTGCTTTCCTGGCATTCAGTAAGTACTATGGAAATATCCTGGCCATCCAGATCCTTTATTATCAGTGTTAGTAGCATTAATTTGGGTGCTTGATTGCCGTTCTGTAGCTGTTTCCCTACTAGGCTCCCCAAGCCCTTTACCAACATTACAGGCATGAAGTCCTGGGACCAGGTGTGAGAAGATCTGAGCTGTCATACATCACCATGGTTTAAGGAGAGAGGAACAGGAGCTGTCAGATGGCAATCAATTGCTCTTTATTTTAGTTTTTTTCTATCTGTAGTGCAGGGGAAGGAGGTTGTGAGCCCTCTAGCTACATCCATAGTTTGGGTAAACTGAGAAGAGTATTGGCTGTGGTGAAATCGGATTTACACCCCTAGCAGATCTCACAAACCCACCCTGGTGGTATGTGGTGTTAGTCCTGAATTACTAAAAGGGCCCTGAGGCACAAGAAGACCCCTCATCTTTGTGTAGGAGAGCTCTTTCTTATCCCTGGGATCCACTTGGCCCTCCCCTCTCCAAAAGGTCTGGTAGCAGTCAGGGCAGGCTCTGTGCCCTGGAGTGGCTCTCAGAGGGACCTGCTCTTGAGAGAGTGACTGGCATTTTTATGCCGCTGGATCTTTATGCAGTGGTGCCCATCCCCAGGGCACAGCAGGCTCTGCCTGCACTCCTGCCCACCGGAGCCTTGGTACTCTTATTTGTGTCTCATTTGCTAAATGAAATGATTGATTTAGTTTTTCACAAGAGAAGTACATCTGAGGGAAAATAATTGATCATAATTTTGCCCTGGTCTATCTGATGAAGATGTGAGTGATTGGTTTTTCTTTTCAAATTAAGTGTCAGTTGATATTAGTATATACATCTTTGGAATAGACATCTGACTCTGGGATTTATTTAATAAACCATTAATCATTAGCAGTTCCATGAAACCTGACGTACTTCAGATAAAAAAGCAGAAAACTCTTATACTAGATACTCACATACATGTAAGCAGTAGCCGCAAGATGAGTGTAAACTTAGTCATCTTCTAGACAAGTGAGGAAACAGTGGGAAGGTTGCAGCATCCATTTCCCTGGCCTGCACCCCAAAATATCTGGGCCTTGGAGCTGACTGGCTGCCATTGCATTTGGATGGCATGTCCTTGACTCCCACTGTGAAGGAAATGCAATGTGGTAATCTGCCTGATGTGGCACTGAAGCTTACCCCAGTTGGCTCGAGGACCTCTGGGGACTGACTAGATCTGCACTTTCTTGGGAGAACATTTAGCATCTATCCAAACTAACCTGACAGTGTCCCTCCTGAGACATCTCAGCCATAAAAATTCTCTTCTGACCTTCCTCCCCTCAAAAGTCTTCGTTCTTCTCCTCCATGGGCATGTCCTGCCCCTGCTGCAGGCCGGCTGGAGCTGCGGGAGCCGGGCTGAGCTGGCCGAGCAGAGGGGCTGGCTGGCAGCAGTGTCACCTCTGCACCCCATCTGCCATGGGCACCTTTTGTACTTTGCTTTCCCTCTCCTGAGGTGTGTGCAAGTGCTAGTTGCATCCCAGAGCCTTTTGATGAGTGAAGCACTTTGGTATCCTTAGGTGACCCATGCAGTCACGTGCCTTGGGAAATCCTTCCCTGTGATTTTAAAAAGATAATTGAGGGCTGAGGTTGTTCCCAGCTTCTTCAGAAACATTTTTTGCTAGCTGCTACCCCGGCTTTAGGGTACGGCTGACCTCTTGCTCAGCAGCAGAGCATGTACAGCTCTGTCACGTAACGCTGGGCTCCCATGGGGCTGCTCCTTTCTAGGCTGAGGGGCTCCTTTCTCCTTCTGCCAGCCAGGCTGCGCCAAGCCGAAGGTCACATTTTAAAATAATTTCCTTAATTCACAATGATGCTGAGTAACAGTGACAGATGCCTGCTCAAATGATGCTAAAGCCTTGAAAAATAGTTGCAAGCCTCAGATGGGGGTTAGTGTTATCCGAGGCTTTGGAGGAAGGGGACTGCTGGTTGTGGTGCGCAGCTGGTCACTCTGCTCACCCAGTCCACCCTCTTCCTCCTTGCTCCACCACTACTTCATCAGGAGCCACTTTGTCTTTGAAAAGGCAGGAGATCTCAATCTCAGTTTCACCTCGTATGTCTGTTTTTCCTTGGTGCCAGGGTCAGCTCTAAACCCCGTTGGCATCTCTTCAGGTCAGTCTGCAGCCCTGAAGCCATGTTAGCTCCTTGAAGGTCTCTCTTCATAGGAGTACCCTGGGCTCCATCCACCACAACCTCCAGGGTGTGAAGCTCTGCTGTTGTTACTGCTGTGCTGGCCACGTGAGTGCTCAGTGTGCCAGGGTTTAGAAGATAAAGTAAAGTAGTTTCCCATGGGAAAAAAAGCAGGAATTTTCATCCCAACTGATGATACAAATAAGGGAAGAGATGGGGTAAGATAAAAATTTGCATGGCTATTTGCCTGTATTTTAAGTCAAAGCTTTTAATGGATTCTGTGGTGTTCAAGTGACTTCCTCCCCCTGCCGAATTTCTTCATTTTCTGCCATTTTCTCTGGCTTTCATCTAGGGCTGAAAAGAGACAAGACATGATTAGAACCGGATAAAACATTTTCAACAGGACTGGCTTCCATAAAAAGCCATTCTGCCAAAATAGAAGAGCCATGTGAAAATCTGTCAGTTTAGATAAAGATAGTAGCAGGACAGCCTGGGGGCAAGAGGTGAGGATCCAATGTCAGCTATCGAACTGATGCATATATCTAGCTCTGAAGGCCTCATTTCTTATGATGAACAACAGCTTAGGAGAGATGGTTACCACCACCCTGTCTATCCTATGGCACTTTGCTGAATGAGAGGATGGTCCTACCTTGAGAGGATGTGAATATTGGGAAGGCTTGAACAGAGTCTGGCCTGGAAGAAAAGCATGGAGAACCTCTGAGAGGAGCAGTCCTCCATGAGGTGCCTCAGTGAAGCAAGGAGGTTAAGAGCTCAAAACAAACAAACAAAAAAAGTCCCATGGCCTGAGTTAGTTGGGGGATTCAACATATACATGAGTTACAGGATTAACTTGCTGCTGCTGAGGAGCCTCACGGATGCAGCTTCAGCCCTGTCCTGAGCTAAAATGACGAACAATTGGTTAAAAATGTAAAGCAGGTTTTCAAAGCAGCTTGTAGCAGCACCAAGAACAGGTGTTGGAGCTTGCCCCGTAGGGCTTGATTCTTCACAGATGCAGGACTAATTTGGCACCTGATTTCCCAGGCTGGTAGTTTACACAACAGCTGACAATGTGCATGGTTGGGATGTCTGGAACATGTTCACTGTAGGATCAGGTAAATTCTGCTCCATCTGACAAAGAAGAAGTAGTTGCCAGGAGGCCCTTTGAGTGCAGACTACGGCTTTGAAAATGAATGCTTGTTATGTGCCGAAATCCTGGGGAGCACTCGCTGAGAAGCCTGTGGGCGGGCTGTTCAGAAAGCCAGGTTTGATTTCCATTAGCTGGTGGGGAGTAGTAGGCTAAGAAATGTGGGGTGTGAGGATCACAGTGTGAAGTCCTTGTGGATCTGGGTCTGCTGTGCAAAAGCGTGTTTTCCCTTCCAGGTGCCTAAGAACCTGAATGAAGTGGGATTTATATTCCCAGGAATTAAATGCTTGTAGCTGTTTGTTTTGAAGTCAGGGAGAGGAGTTAAAGCTGCTGACGGTGACAAATACCAAAGGCGTGGATGTGTTTCCCTGCTCTAATGACTCATGCTAATGCAACCCAAAGCCTCCACCATTCAAAGTCGGGGGATCTGCAGGCATCCCACCTCTGAGATCAGGACAGCCGTTCTTTACTTCCCCCTCTGGCACTCAGAAAGGGTTGCAGCCTCCCAGGAGCACCTTTTAACCTTCATTTTTCCAGACCCAGCCTAAACTGCCACGCGTTTGAGCACTGCCTTCCCCTCCATTGCCAACACCCCTGCTCACTTCACTCCTCCTGGAGCTCTGACTCCACCGTATCTGAGGTCTCAACTGTTTTGCTTTCTCTCTGCACCTTTTCTTTCACAGCAGCTTTTTCTCATAGCCTGTACCCTGTCAAAGCATTTGCCTTGGCTCTTGGAGCCTATTGCGGAAACCCTCGTGCTCCCTGGCCTTGCTCTCTCCAGTGTGGTTATTGCCCTCTGCTAGTGAAGCCAGTCTGCTGTTTGTCCTCCAGTCCTGCTCACCTGCCCTGCCATGGCTCAGCAACCTGCTTTCCATTTGCTCCCACTGCTGCTTGCCTGACTACTATCTCAGAGCTGTTTACACAGCAGGAGTTGATCCTGCTTTGCACCCTGGCTAGAGGCCCTCAGAAACCCCTTCAAGCTCTGATTTTAAAGTTAATACTCTCACAAAGTTATAAGCAAAAAACTTGTTCCAGAAGTCACTCTCGGGTTATGTAAAAGCATGGTTTGTGGTTTCCCATAAGCCAAAGCAGCTCGTCTGCTTGTGTCCACACACAAATAGCAGGGAGACATCCCTGCCTGGACAGTCTTAGATCCTCAGGAGGTGCTCTTGGGTAATACGAATACAGGTGAATGACAGGAAACGTTCAATTGGAATAAACATTGGAATAAACTGTGAAATACTACTGGGCTAAGCAGCGTATCTGTACATACATGATGCTTTGTCCAGTACATTTGGAAATCCTGGTCAAACTATCAGCCTTTTCTGGTTTTCTCCCAAGAAAAACATCCATGGGTGGAAAAGATGATAATCCCAGAGAGCTTTACACAGGACCAAGAGTCTCTGCTCACCCAAAGATTATTTCTTGGGCTGAGGAGCTGATAAAGAGCAGGTGAATGTGAAAAGCAGCATGAGAAAAAAGCCTCCAGGACAGCCCAGGGGAGCAGGAATAGCAGTGGTCATAGCAAACCAGTAAAGAAAACGTTTGGAGTTTGGTCCTGCTCCTTTGATATAAAGGGGAGCTTTACTCCTGATTTTTGTGATTTTCGGGAACAGAATCCCAGGAATTGCAAACATTTGCTGTATATCACCTCCTCTCTCCCACTGCTAGCCGCAAAGCATTTCTGCTGCTCTTCCTCAGAAAAAGAGGATTGCACATTGTGTGGTTGCACGTTTCTGCCTCTTTTGCCATTTTTCCATCCCCGTGTTCCCTAACCACAGCCCAGTTCTGGCTATGAAATCCTTTGCCTCGTGAACCATTTTCTTCCAGCAGCTTTTGTAGACATTTTCTTTGGTACATACAGTCCCCCAGTGACAGCTGCAGTTTTGAGGAGGCTTGAAACGTCTCAGTGACCTGTCCTAGTGCCTCTTGAAGTCAATGAGGTTTGTGCTTGGTTTCCGAGGGGGCAGGATCCAAGCCAAAGTGTTTGCTTTCCAGATAGAAGAATACCAAGAATCCACCCTGATCTCTCACCTCCTTTCTTTTTCTTCCTCTTTGCAGGAATGGACGTACACATACAACTACCAAGTCCGCCAGCAGCAGCTGTGCTTGTCTGTGTACACCCTCTTCCCCGGTTCCCAGGTGCTGCTGTCACCTTGCAAAGAAGGTGACAACAAGCAGGTGAGCCCTTTCATTGATCCCCCATTTTCTTTGAAGTTCCCTTTCTTTCAGCATAGTATTACTGCACATCAAATCGCCCGTGTGCTCTGACTTCCTCTGGGAAGCACAGTCTCTCTAGCTGGGAGTACAGACTCTGGCCCGTTTGGCCCTTTGTCTCTTGTTGAGTGTGTTGATGTCTATTAGTGCGGGTGGTGATCTGGATACTTATCTGCAGAAGTCAAACCAAAACTGGCAATTTAGTTCACACGGGCTGCCAGTCGGCCAGCAGATGCTAACATTTCTTTGCAGTTAATCATCGAGCTGACATTTGAACCAGTGACCTGGGAAAAAAGCTGTTAGTAATATACTATCTTCCTGAAGCCAGGCAGAGGCTGACCTTAAATGAGTGTGCTTCTGATGGGAGAAACGCTCAGCGTGTGTTTTGCTAGGTGTGGGCTAGGGGACCCTGTACTTCCCAGCATCAGGCCGCAAAGGCTTAGTGACGACTGTCCTCTTGATGCTGGAACAGTATAGTAAAAGCATAATGAGGAGGAAACTTGTTCACCCCTGTTTCTCCTCTCACGTGTTTCTCTCTCCTCAGCGATGGGGTAAAGTTGGGTCACACATTGAACACGTAGCTTCACGCTTCTGTTTGGACACTGAGACGATTGGGGACACGAATGAGAGCACCAAAGAGCTTGTCATCAACCCTTGCGAGAGCACAGCCATGAGTCAGCGCTGGGACATGGTGATGTCTTGACCTGCTTGAGGACTTACACAGCGGGGATGGGCACTGAGATGTTGCTACACGCAGCCAAGATGCACCAGATGGAGCTCAAATGCAAAACCATTGGGGGTCCTTGTGTATTATGGGACAGGAGAAGAATCATTCAAATAAAAATAAGGACATGGCACTCCAGGTTGAACAACGGATGTTGTCTGCAAGGCATGTAGCCATTATTGGCCTGTTGGCAGTCATACATTCAAAGAGAATGGATGGCAAAAACCCAAACTTTAAATGTTTTAGAGGGATACCGGGGCTCCTGTGATGGGCCCTACAGAAGTTTGGTGTGCACAGTATTTATTAATCTCTCTGGAAACACAGGTGGAAGAGCCTTGGAGACCAAAACAAGACTTGGACTCAGCAAAACAAGCATTTCGATAGCTTTTGGGGGGTGAGGCAGGTGTGCAAGGAGGGATGTGCCAAGGGATGCTAAGAAACATCACCTGGGACCAAGTGGAAAACACTGAATTATCTTTGCACTTTTCACTGCTGTGGATGACTTTGTCTTCTGCAGACAGCGTGGGTGGAGCCGTGTTGCACATTTGAATTTGTATCTGATCCACGTACATGTTTTGTATACAGAGGCAGGGCAGTCATTTATGGCTGTGGCGAGGATCAAACCAGCAAGTAATGGGGGAGTCCTGCTGTGTGCTAACTGCACATGGGGGTTGTTGAATCTCCAAAACCCAAGCAAACAGAGGATTCAGTGTGTGAGATTAAAGGATACAAACCACTGTGAAGCTGGGAGAAAAGGCAGTAACATGATTATTTCTCCTCTCTGAAGGCCATGGGTGAGCCTCGGTCACTGAAAACTCCCCTATAATCTCACTATGTGTCTCTCACTGCTTCAGATCTGGAATAAGCCAGAATTTTCACTTTTCTCCCATAAAAGTAATATTTTGGTAATTGAAGGTAATTGTGTCATATTTGTGTTTCCCAATTTCCCGGCTACAGAAGAGGGAACTCCCATGAACTGCTGCTAGCAAAGGAATAGAGGAGGTAATTAAAACTAGAGGCTGCTCTGAGAAAAGAAAAGGGATATTACCTGGTTTTGCTTCCCAGGTATCTTGTAGCCCAAGATGTGAAGTACTGAAGAAAAAGTTTGGGATTCCCCCAGTCACACCTGTGAGCAGGGAACCATGGGTCACAAAGTACCTTTCTCCCAAAGTCATTTAGTGTAGGCAGACTTGGCACAAATGATTTCTTCAGGTTTTGGAGATAAGTTATTAACCAGAGGTCATGTCAGGTGCAATAGTTATGTGGGAGTGAGGTGGCTGCCAAAGGAGAATAGGTCAGAAGACCTCAGAAGAGGTCTTAGGAATAGGAGAGAACTGGAAAGTCCTTTTCTAGCTGGCCCTTTGGAGCAGCTCCCACTACAGCAATGGCTAACAGGCAGTGAATCACCAAGAGCTGCGCATACAGCTCTTGTGTAATAACAACTTTTGAAGAAAACTTTTGCAAGACCATCAATGTGACTTGAAAAAAATACAGCTTATGCCTCTAAAAATGCTAGGGTTTAATGAAAATCCTATCCTTTATTCTCTGTGCTGCAAACTATAGGCAAAATACCACAAGCTTTGAGCCTTCAAGTGCTCTCAGCATCCCTTCTTGAATAAATTGCTGGCTTTCAGAATTTTACTGCCTCAGTTTCTCCTCCCTCAGTGCTGGGAGAAAGCCATATGTGTAAATCTCCCCGGCTTTAGAGGCAGAACCAGTGTAACTCTTTATTTACAAAATGTTGCAGGGTATAAATGCTTTCTGTGTGCTGCAGTGATGACTACCTGACCAAGCTCCCTTGGTGCAAACCTCAAGGGCTTCTGTTATGAAAGGGCTGGAGCAAACTGTCATTTCATGGTGGAAGATAGCATTGTTTACATATCACCAAGTGGCGCAGGAAACAAAGGGAAGCACTTAAAATGGAATGGACCCACTTCACAAAGAAGGGTAGTGACTTTGGGCTCCTTCTATTTAATTGAACCGGGAACTATCACACCTGCTTTTCACGCTGGTGGTGACAGGCAAGTGGTAATAATTCCCTGTCTAGTGCTCACATGGGAAAGCAGCTCCCAAGAGCCTGCAGCTTAACATGTTCACACATGTACTGCGCCTGCAGCCCGGGACTGCCCAGCTGCTGGCACTTCAATTCTGAAAATTCAAATAAGTGAACAACTTGGCATCAGTTTTAAAGGCCAGCATCCGGTGGGTACGTTCTGATCAGGACCTCAGACCTACAGCTTTATTATTTTCCACCTAAGCCAAAACTATCCATTCTGCTGACAGCCAAAGCTCCCTAAACAGGTAATGCTCTTCTTTGCCTTAGCAGAAACGCTACCTCACTACACGTGTGTGCTTGAGCACACAGACCCATGGGACCTGCAGGGATGTATTCTAGGAAGTTGTTTGACCAACTTTTCAGCTCTCTTGCACTTTGTGAAACCCAAAAGCTATACCAAACCCCTCCTATTCCAAAACACGCGCTGTGGTGATCACTGTGAACTTGTTTGGGGGCGGTGGAAGGCAGGCAGTGGAGAAGGTAACATCAGGCATGGTGTCCCCTACAAGTGAGTAGCATCATTCAGCTAAGTCTCTTGCAGGCCCAAAAGCCACCAAGTACCTAACAGACCCGGGGAGCAGCAGCCACTCAGCAAACTGGTGATAGTGTCTCATGCATCCATCGGCCGTAACCCTTAGACTGCAGCTTGTTTCATGGTCCAAGAAATGAGATTAGCCCTATGGATCAGCAGTGTTTTCGGAGAAGCCTGAGGGTATCAGCCTGACTCCTGGGAAGCTTTAGGTAAGCAGGCAATGGACTGGCAGTCTCCAGAGTTAGCCCCAATATGGCATTTAGCAAATCTTCTGCTTAGCATCCCCGCAAAGAGACCGTGCATCGTGTCAGGGGAAAGGTTAACTGCTGCTGAAATCCAACTCGCACCTTTAGGTTTATTTCACTTATTAAAATACACCAGAGACAGATTAACCTTTTTTGCTTTGTGTTTGTTACTTGCCTAGACATTTATTACCGTGCTGTGAACAGATACACGTGACATTGATAGGTGTATCTAGATGGGCTCCTATGCCTATACCTCTTAAGCCCTAATGTCATTTGGTAGTAATGCTTTTTGGTAATATTTTGCACTGACTTGAAAGAACAGAAGATAAAATAGGAAATATGGTTCTAATCCTGGCTGTTGAGCTTTGTGACAGCCTTTATGATCTCCAGGTAAGTCACTTCTTCTGCCTTGGGAAAATTAGATTCAGAACAGGAAACTTAGGGCTAGAACTACTACTGCCTTTTAAAGATCCAACCAAGGTGATGCAAAAAAAAACCAAAAAAGCACCTTAACCTTCCCTTCCCTCCCGAAGGAGACCCATGTTCTCGTGAGAACAAATCTACCTTGTTTTAGTTGGGCTGGGGAAGTCTAACAGTCTCTACCTTGCTGCTTATGTGATTTCCAGGTATTTTGTGCTCATCCTCTCTCTGTACCAGCACAGTGCCATGAGATAACAACACAAAGCATCAATGCTTGGAACCTCAGCTTGCAATATACCGATGTAGTAATTTAGTAGTAAAGAGATGGAAACTGAATTCAAAGATCTTTGATTATCCAGTGAGGCAACAGGAAAATGGGGCTGGTGGATGAAGACTGGAGGACTGTGGTTCAAGACAAGCACCAGCCCTGAGTGCTAATCCCTTCTGCTTCTAGGAGCAACTTGGGATAGCTTACTTAATTTCCCTGCCTCAGTTTCCCAAACTTTTAGTGAAGACTGAATGTTTTGAACAGAGAGAAAGCCAAGTATTAGGTTTTGTTGCATGAAATACCAGCAGTACTGGACTGGCAATGGACTGGCAGTGTCTGGAGTTAGCCCCATGGTCCCTTATTATCTGCCTGTACAGGGTCTGGTTTGGATGGAGTTAATTTTCCTCATAGCAGCCTGTATGGTGCTGTGTTTTAGACTGGTGACCAAAACAGCGTTGATGATAACGCACAACAATGTTTTAGTTATTGTTGTGCTTGCACAGTGTCAAGGCCTTCGCCATCTCTCATTCTGCTGCCCCAGTGAGTAGGCTGGGGTTGGGCAAGAGGTTGGGAGGGGACACAGCCGGGACAGCTGACCCAAACTGACCAAAGAGATCTCCTATACCATATAACGTCAAGCTCAGCAACAAAACGGGGGGGGGAGTTTTTCCACAGTAGGTGTTGCTCGGAGACTGACTGGGCATCAGTCTGCAGGTGGTGAGTGACTGCCTTTGCGTTACTTGTTTGTTTGGTTTTTTTTTCCTTTTCCTTCACTTACTAAACTCACTTTATCTTAACCGACAAGTTTTTCTCACTTTTGCCCTTCCGATTCTTTCCCCGATCCCGTTTGGGGGGAGTGAGTGAGTGACTGGGTAGGGGCTTAGCTGCCAGCCAGGGTCAACCCACCACACTGCCCTAAGCAAACCAGGGTCTGCAGTGTAGCTGGCTGGTATTCTTCACGGCTTGGACTCTGACCACAATTGTGTAATAGGATCTGCGCTGCTCAAATTTCAAATCTTAAAAGCTTTAGTGAAAAGCTATGGGCTAGAATTGTTTGTGGAACTGGTAAAGGAAGCAAAATCAAGCAGATTACAAACCGCTGAGGATCAACATACAAGCAGCAGAAGAAACTGTAGCTCATTAATGTTCTGGCTAAATTAATGTCAAATGATCAGTCCAGCTCCAGTTTTAATATTATGCGGCTGCTTTAGACGGCTGAAGAGTTTAAGGAAGTCTGGTACGGGTGTCCAGCTTACATTGAGACTTAAGGGCTAAAATCCAGTGGAATTATTCCAGGTTTATGGATGTTTTCCATATGTCCACTGTTCTGTTACTCACTGGAAGTGCCTTCAGAACCCTGTAAGAATAAAAACCTGTTACAAGCTACTACCTCTCCAACTGAGTCTAATTAAGTTTCGAGTTGAGGTGCATTTTAGCTTAGAGCTGACGAAAAGCAACATATACATTTGCAGGTAAGAATGCTGCTTTTGTGGTGTAGGGGGCTGTTTTGTTTTCTCTGGTATTACTTGGGCACTAAGGAAATCCAAGCTGGTTGCGTGTGACGTACAAAAGAAAAAATGACTGAGTTTCAAGGTTGGGTTTTGCATAAGCGCTTGTCTAGCAATTATCTATGAACTGCCCATCACAATGACTGTTGTCTCTTATTTTCCTGTGATTTATGTGAAAGAAGTGTCCAGACAAGAC